TTAAATTGCAATCTAGACCTTTTGGATGAAGACAAAAACAAGCAATTTAAGTATTTGAAATGCAGAAAACACAGAAGGCATCCTGACATTTAAAAGTAAATCACTGTAATGTGTCAGCTGTAAACTATGTAAATAAAATATATGTTAACTCAAAACGTAACTTCTCTCCATCAGTGTATTATTATAGTGAAGAGATTCCTCTAGACTCTGTTGGCCATCAGGCTGCTGGTCTGTGCAACAGAAATAATAAAAACTCATTGCTCAGACCCACATTCTGCCTTTATTAGTCACTTTAGTTGTGTATAAGAATGACAAAACATGACCCTGTGACTGGACTAATGGGACTCACCTTTTGGTTGTGAAGGGGTTGGAAAGAGGACGTTCAGTCTCTGTTCTTTCCAGATGTCTTTTACAATTTCTAAAGCTATGAAAAGCAAAGAGCACAGTTGATACTACACACTGTACACTCCCATGGATCATAAACTCTGTAGCCTTTTAAGCTTACTGCTACCTTCACTGAATGAAGCTTTCTGAAGATACTCATACAACTCGTTTCCCAGCATTACACACTTTGAAAGAGAAAACACAGGTTAACAATTAGCATTATGGATGTGTATTTCCACTTTGTACATTAACTTGTTTTTGTTGGCAAATAAAGGTTAAATAGGTTGTCCAACATAATTACTTTCTGAACTTATCAAGAAGACAACAAATATGTTTAGAATTATCTTTAACCACATCTTGCTCAAATTGCCCCAAGGACATTTCAGATAACATACACAATACATGGGCCCAATAGGTTACCTGCGCCTCGGTCTTGTCCAAGCCTTCGCGGTCTGAGAGTTTGTCAACAATGTTTAATAAATTATCTAAAAGTATGTTCTCTTGGTGCTCATCATCCCGCCAAAGCGACATTAATTTGGGGTCCTGCCTCAGCTGAAAGATATGCATATTATCTCATAAAATACCGTGGGAGCAAACATGAAATACTTTTGTTGTTTAGAGGTTTTCAATACATTATTAAGACTCCACTCACTGTGTATGACAACTTGTGCTCAATGCTGATGACGTGGGCACAGATGAGTCCCGCTGGGAGCATAACCTTGCAGCTCTCACACAAGAAGAATGCTTTCCGAGTTATCCCTCGACACTCCCAAATAGAGCCCAGACCTGATGAGGACACACCGTCTTTCACATATGTGTGTTTTTATGACATTACATAAAAGGGTCTGCTGTGTGAGGATGGAAACACCCACCTATTACTGGTTCATTTTCCAGTCCCCGCACCTTCAAGTATGTGGACAAGTGACTGCCCTGAGTTTTTTCGCCTGTTGACAGCCATGCAAAATAACTAAAGCAGAGAGATTATGGATTAGTGTAAATGAGTAATGATGCAGAAGGAGACGACACACATACCACCAATAAAGAGACTGCAAAGACAAAATAAGACATTGTTAGTAGGGGTGTGGAAAATAACAGTTTTTTAGATGCATCGCGATGCGGACTTGGACGATTATGAATCGATTCACAAATGTCAATAATCGATTATCTAGAGGTTAATTGATCACATAATGCTGACGGAACGAAAAAGGCGGAACTCGGAAATGCAGAAGTGCAGCTCCGGACCGTCTGTGCGGTGAACACAACGGAGACGTGTGGTTCTCGCTGTTCGGCACAGACAGACAGCTGTTGATCGAGTGACTGCCACAACTAAACTTTAATAAAATCAATGCGCAACTAACGTTAATGATTTTACCCAGCACACAGTGCAGCACGGTAACGCTTCAACCTGAGACTCCACATCAGACTCAACTCTCTGCTGTTCAAATTTGTCTAAGAAGAGCAGAGAACTTGTATTAGTCCAGCTGTAAATATGTTAATCATCATTTTATTTATTATTATTTTCTCTATTTTAGTCATCCGACACAGATTTTAAGCTAGATGACCGAAAAAAGCTATCAACGCTACTTACCACAACAAAGCTCCGGCGACTAACGTTACGCTAGCCGAGATAACTCTGCCCCATGAGGACTGCACACTCCTTAAGAAAGCGAACAAGAAGATTGCTGACCTTATGGAAGACATCCGACAACTTTCAGAGGAACTCAAAGAGAAAGATTCCCTGCTGACTGGCTTTATGGATGTGGCTTCAGTACAAGCCAAACAGATTGTTTCTCTTAGCGCAACCGCCAACATCCAGGACACCGTGCTATGGGACCCCTCTATCCCTTCCAGGGCTTTCCTCTTGCTCGACTCCGAAGCATCAGTCAACCCGAGCAAGAGAGGCTCGGAAGGGGCTGCCTCTCCTCCGCACATCCGCCTCTCCAACCACTATGCAGCCCTGTCTGACGACACTCCGGTCCATCCAGCGGATGCACCTGCGGCTTCGAGTCTCCCTGATACGGATCTCTTTTGGCAGACAGTGCTGGCCGACACTGTTGCATCTTCTCCAGTGGCTACACCTCCTGCACTGGCGGCAAACAGTGATTGGCTGGGCCGCCGGTCTGCCACTGGGCCTGATTGGCGGCCGTCATCCCGGTCAAAAACCTCCACTTCCCTACGTAGGATCCTGAAGGAGGCTGTGCTCAGACGCTCCGGAGGCCGTCTCTACCCTGCACCGTCAGGTAGCCCTTCTCTCAGGTCTGTTACTGCTACTCCAACACAACACTCGGCAGCTCACACACTCCATCCTCAGTCCGCACACAGTGTTGAAGCAGATTCTGCTCAGTCCTGCTCTGGAACCCAACAACCGGCATCTCCTCGTCCCCTTTTCTCCCCAACCACACTAATAATTGGTGACTCCATAACCAGAAACATCCGTTTCTTTAACGCTACCACTTACTGCTTCCCCGGTGCCACCACGGCTGACATTTTAAAAAAACTCCAGGACCTAATGCCGTCGCTCCCGTCCTCCATCACAAGAGTGATAGTCCATGTCGGAACAAATGACACAGCTCTTCAGCAGTCTGAGCTGACAAAATCAGATTTTAACCGTCTTTTTAACTTTTTAAAGCAGTGCGGAAAGTTTTTATCAGAGACCAGAGTTTTTATCTCTGGTCCCATTCCCACAGTTGGTCGCGGTGCTGGCCGCTTCAGTAGACTCCTTGGCCTCCTTGGTCCGCCTGCAGGGCTCATCGTGTGTTCTGTCGATAACTTTAATATTTTCTGGCAAAGAATGTCTCTTTTTAAGACAGACGGACTTCACCCAAACAAACGGGGCTCAGAAATGTTAGATGCTCACATACAGCATGTGGTGCGGTCCACACATGACTTACGTGAATGACTAATCATTCATGCAGCACACCTGGACACACCACCGCTCACTGGACAGATCTCTGCCTTACTGCCACAAACAACTGTCTCCACCTGCTGGCATGTAAAGCCGTCTGCTCCCAGCGCTGTTCCAAAGACTTCTTTTCCTGTCATCATCACGCATAGACCAGTAAACCGAAATGTGAATATCCCACACAGAAATATTAGTAATCTCTTAAGGATTAGGACAACTAACTGAATCCTGGTTGCAAATGAAAGACTATAGACAGCTAGCTGAACTGTGTCCGCCTCAATATGATTGTTTTAGTCAACCGAGGGTCAGTGGTCGTGGTGGTGGGCTAGTGAGCGTGTACAGGAAATATTTTAAATGTCATCAAGTACGCTGTGATGAATTTAACTCCATTGAAGTTCTCACTCTTAAACTTGGAGGGCTGCAACCTATCATATTTGTTATAATTTATCGCCCCCCAAAACCGCCTGGAGGATTTTTATCAGAACTTCCTGAATTTTTATCTACTCTGGTTTTAAATTATGACAGAATTGTTCTTTGTGGCGATTTTAATATTCATGTTGATGACCCCAACAATGTTAATGCAACTGACTTTTTAAATATGGCCACTTCTTTTAACTTCAAACAACATGTCAAAGGGCAAACACATAACCATGGTCATACACTGGACTTGGTTTTTACCCTGGGTGTCAGCATTTCCTCTGTGGAATTAGTGGACATGACCATATCTGACCATAGATGTATTGTTTTTAGCTGCAATTCGCCTGCCTCAACAAGTGTTTCAAAGTTTTGCGCATTCTTTCAGAGCCAAAGCCAACACCTGTCTGATTCCAACACCAACAATCTGGTCGATCACTTCAATCATATCTGTTTATCGTCACTAAATATTACTGCTCCTCTAAAGTTAGGCCTACGTCTAAAGCTAGTAAGCCACCCTGGATAAATGACAGCATTCGCAGCCTAAAAAGGGAATGCAGGAAAGCAGAGCGCAGATAGAAAAAATCCAGTCTCCAAGTCCATTACCTCAGTCTGAAGGATTTATTAATTAACTACAATAACATGGTTAAGGATGCGAGAACACACTATTTTTCTGAACTCATTACTACACATAAACACAATCCCAGGTTTCTGTTTAAGACTGTGGATCAGCTGGTAAACCCAACCCCTCCTTGTGCCTCAGCTGGAAGTAATGATGACTGTGAATTGTTTTTATCTTATTTTACCAATAAGGTAGTGTCTGAAAACATATCTCATGAAATGGACATATAAGTCTGGAGCAAATCTTGCGTGTGAGTATGTGGGCTCTCACCTGGCGTCTGGGGCTCATATTTGTTCTCATGCTCTGATTGGTTATCAGTAGAAGGTCCTGCCATTTCATTCTGTGGCATGGAAGTCCCTGAGAGACAAAATTGGTAATTGGTGTACTGTAATTCCATACTTCTGTGTCTCATTCACTGGTTTTCTAATGTCACAGACAAATCATGATTTTCTCAACTTAACAAAAATAAAGAGTCAGAAAATATCTCTAGGGCAACAATATAAATAATAACAATATAAAGTTTCTCAAACTTGGTGCTAAGAAACGACAATTGAATTTACCATCATCTGGGCTTGAAATTTCACATGGACTAGCAATGGCAACACGCTGTCTCAAAACCTCTGCAGCATCAGTTGTGGAGGATGAGACCTGCGACTCGTTCTGTTTCTAGAGCTGAGAATAAAAAGAGAATTATGATTTTCTCCACATTTATAAAACAAATCTGCAGTATTGTTATTTTGACTGGATAATTTCTCTCTCAGTCCCCTCTGACCCCACTGCTAACATGGCTGAACAACTCAACAAATAGAGACGGACGGTTCTTTGTAATCTTTTCACCTTGTAAGCCACGTAGCAGTAGATTTGTGAAGGGTATTAGAATATCTTTACCTTTGTTGTCTGGAAGACCATTCAGCTCGTTGTACTCATCAATGTTCACTTCCATTGTCTAGCAGAAAGACAGAAACAGGCACACAATGTTAAAACCATAACATGCTACTTCGTTAAACACATTTCCATGATGTATGTTCTCATGTATTTGTTTAAACACATGTCTACCAGTTGCTGCAGCAAACTTTCTGGCTTCTCTGGATACTTCTCAAACTGGTTTTACTCACATATACCCCATAACCAATGCCCAGTAACTTAATACACTGCATTTAACTAAGATACAGAACATCTTGTCCATTGCAACATATTCAATTATTAGTTTTCAGCGGCAAATAGCAGTGCTGTTTTAGATTGCAACCACTACCTATCCAAGCACGTTCTTGAGGGCAAGCCCTAAGTCATGAGTGAGCCAAACAGAGTCCGACACAACGGAGAGAGCTTCACATGCTCCCAGTGCAACGTTGCATGTTCATCAGCTTGACGCTTAACTAATCCATGCTTGTTACATGATAATGTTACACTGACTGGATTTAGCTGACATAATATGTCAGCGTTGGCTCACTTGCCGGCTTTTCAATAACTATTTGTGTATCTTTCATTGGAGAGGCTCAGCGAAGTCAGCACAGATATCTGTATTAAATGAAAACGAAAATGGTTAGCGAGCTAGACTGAATATTATAAATGAGATTGTTGCACTCTTACTTTAGTATAACAGTTAGACCCCAGTAAGTAAGGTTACTGTAACTTACTAAATGGGCCTTCCACCTTAACATATCTGTTCCTTGCATTATTGTATATTCTGTGGAGCATATAACTTACAGCAACTGAGAAGCTGTGTACCTGAGTACCGGTAAAACAACAATACAGTAAATCTAAATTGAATGTTACAAAGCAAACTGTTGTGGGGACAGCCCGGCTGATGGTGAGTGTCCTGGTTTACTTTTTTTCGCTTTATTTCTCCCATTGTTTTGCTCTGCCTGCCTCCCTGTGTTCTCCTCCTCTCTCCCTCTCCCTCCGCTCCTGAGCCCAGCCAACAACCCGCACTTGCACCTCATCAGCCACCTGTTATACTGTTAACATTTATAATCGGTTATTAAATACATCCTGGATATAAAAAAACTAAAATGTAATTACAGTTAAATTATAAAAAATGAAAAGGTTAACAATTTACTTTTAAAACTAAACATACTAACAAAAGTCAAACATGTCTCTCCTGCTGACAGCCATTTAATAAAAAATGTCGCCTCTATCCTAATTTACAGGTCGCCATGGTAGCCCCGCCCAATAGCATATGCTGCATTATCGTCTATTTGCCCCTAAATAGCACCATAATTTCTCAATGAACATCATGCTGTGTTGAAAAAGACTTGCGACTGAGACTGTAAACTCATTATGAAAGTGTTTACTGAGGTAATAAATCAGCTGAAAAGATGCACATACATTTTACATTTTACCCTTATTGCTAATGGAAGCGGACTTCTTTCTGCAACCATCGGACTCGCCCCCTGCTGGCCGTTAGAGAGAATGCAGGTTTAGGTTCCGTTTGCATGGTTTCACTTTCAGACCCAGGGGTTGCCGCTTGATTGAAATTAGAGAAATAACATTCGACAACCACTCGTCACGTCACTACAGTTCTGGATTGGACAACGGTGCGCACCATGAGCTGCAAAGCAACTGCAGGATGTTGAGTTTCTTATTTATTTATTTTTAAATACTAATGTTTCTGCCCTGGCCCGAGCTGCTAGTTCAACTGTCCCGAGTTACTTTTTACTGGCCCCGGGCCATCGGGCCACCGTTATTGTCAAGCCCTTGAAGTAGCTGACAGTTTGCTAACCCACAACCTAGCTAACATTAGATACATTACTTGCTATGTTGTTGTCATTGAATTTACAAAAAATGTTCTATATCGGCTTTTGAGATTTTAGTCGTATCACACAGCCCTACTTTTCATACACAGGCAATAAAAAAAGTTACACATTTAATTAAAGCAATACAAATATGAGTATCCTGATGTGTAAATTCTTAGAGCATTAATGTTATAGTCTAGATTAAAGAAGGAGATTTATGGTGGGATGTTTACAATAAAACTCCTGGAGCTAGTCCGCAATTACCAAATTCGTTATGTCTCGTTAAAATCACAACCTGCTCTAGTGTTGCTATGTTTGGTTTATTTACGATGTGCAAATTCAGAAGTTGTCAAAGAAGATAATCCGGTGTCGGTGATGGATGACCCGGTCCTGGTCTGCCCCCTAGTGGATTCAGGTTTAATCCTCCAGGTACACGAAAAGTACGCAGGCAAGTATGTGAACAAAGGCCGACGTCTATCAACGCTTACGAATCGTTAAAAAGCAAATGATAAGAAACTAGAATATCTGGGACTTTCCAGTAAAATAAAAATCCACTAAATGCTGAAAATGATGAGAAAAGAGAGACACCCAAATATGTGGGACTTTCCACAGATCGAGGTGCAGTAGGGAAGAGAGCCAAAAGATTATGTAACGCTTAGAAACAGAGCCATAAAAGGAGGTCCAAAAGAAGTTGAAAGTCAGTTGTTACATGGTTTCATGTCGACTTAGGTCTCTGTTCTGGTGACAGAATGGGGCTCTTGCATCGATCTCTGACCCTCTCCAATGAAACTTTAATATTCTAACTGGTGTTTATTTCTGTTGTCTGTTGATAATAAACATCTTGGTAAAAGTTCAAGATTTTTTATCTGGCTTTTTTATCTGAATTTTTTACACAACAATCCCTCATCAATTTAAATAAGCTTATCATCAAAGAACAGTCTAAAATATTTATATTGATCATTGCACTGAAGACCAACGGTTTGTATTAAAAACAATGTGGTTATGCAACAACAATCTAGTATATTGTCTTTGCCTGAATTAAATTCTTCTTTGTTTTTATTAAAATGGCTTCATGGCTTACTTCTTGAAGTGGACTTTTTTTGACATGTGGCATCACACCAATAAATCAGATTAAAACACAGACATCATTTTTGGGTCAGGGTCACCTGTGCGGAGCAGGATCCTACATCTTTCTCTACATCAGCCAAGTTGGCTACCATCTTGTCCAATTTGCTCTCCACGTCCAATGGCTTGGCAGTCCACCAAGGGTACAGCTTTTTCTAGAACGAACATTAAGAGCACACAGTAAAGGTTTGTAATACTGCCCTGTTTTACAAGCTTCCTGCATTTTCTACAACAAGACTTGTCAAGTACGCACCACATAGTTATACTTGTGCTCAAACCCAAGTGGGTGCCTGGAACTGTTCAACTTCACAGAACACAGCTGACAGTAGACTTGTTGCTTTCCTTCACATGACACTACAATCAGCTGGTTTAAGCCTATAAAGTAAAGACAACAATGCAAACCTTTGATAAAATCAACAGAGACCAATTCATATCTACAGTGGGGAGAACAAGTATTTGATACACTGCTGATTTTGCAGGTTTTCCTACTTACAAAGCATGTAGAGGTCTGTAATTTTTATCATAGGTACACTTAAACTGTGAGAGATGGAATCTAAAACCAAAATCCAGAAAATCACATTGTATGATTTTTAAATAATTACTTTGCATTTTATCGCATGACATAAGTATTTCATACAACAGAAAAGCAGAACTTAATATTTGGTACAGAAACCTTTGTTTGCAATTACAGAGATCATACATTTCCTGTAGTTCTCGACCAGGTTTGCACACACTGCAACAGGGATTTTGGCCCACTCCTCCATACAGACCTCCAGATCCTTCATGTTTCGGGGCTGTCACTGGGCAATACGGACTTTCAGCTCCCTCCAAAGATTTTCTATTGGGTTCAGGTCTGGAGACTGGCTAGGCCACTCCAGGACCTTGAGATGCTTGTTACGGAGCCACTTCTTAATTGCCCTGGCTATGTGTTTCGGGTCGTTGTCATGCTGGAAGACCCAGACACGACCCATCTTCAATGCTCTTACTGAGGGAAGGAGGTTGTTGGCCAAGATCTCGGGATACATGGCCCCATCCATCCATCCCTCAATACGGCGCAGCCGTCCTGTCCCCTTTGCAGAAAAGCATCCCCAAAAAATGATTTTTCCACCTCCATGCTTCACGGCTGGTATGGTGTTCTTGGGGTTGTACTCATCCTTATTCTTCCTCCAAACACAGCAAGTGGAGTTTAGACCATAAAGCTCTATTTTTGTCTCATCAGACCACATGACTTTCTCCCATTCCTCCTCTGGATCATCCAGATGGTCAATGGCAAACTTCAGACGGGCCTGGACATGCGCTGGCTTGAGCAGGGGGCGCTGCAGGATTTTAATCCATGACGGTGTAGTGTGTTACTAATGGTTTTCTTTGAGACTGTGGTCCCAGCTCTCTTCAGGTCATTGCCCAAGTCCTGCCGTGTAGTTCTGGGCTGATCCCTCACCTTCCTCATGATCATTGATGCCCCACAAGGTGAGATCTTGCATGGAGCCCCAGACCGAGGGAGACTGACCGTCATCTTGAACTTCTTCCATTTTCTAATAATTGCGGCAACAGTTGTTGCCTTCGCACCAAGCTGCTTGCCTATTGTCCTGTAGACCATCCCAGCCTTGTGCAGGTCTACAATTTTATCCCTGATGTCCTTACATAGCTCTCTGGTCTTGGCCATTGTGGAGAGGTTGGAGTCTGTTTGATTGAGTGTGTGGACAGGTGGGCTTCTTAAAGAAGAACTACCAGGTCTGTGAGAGCCGGAATTCTTACTGGCTGGTAGGTGATCAAATACTTATGTCATGCAATAAAATGCAAATTAATTATTTAAAAATCTTACAATGTGATTTTCTGGATTTTTGTTTTAGATTCCGTCTCTCACAGTTGAAGTGTACCTAAAATAAAAATTACAGACCTCTACATGCTTTGTAAGTAGGAAAACCTGCAAAATCAGCAGTGTATCAAATACTTGTTCTCCCCACTGGATGTATATATACTCAAGGATTCAAGGTAATTTCATTGTCATTTTACAACAGGCTGTTTGCAACTCCCTTCTGTTAAATGTCAGACAATAAACAGTAATACAATAATCATTAAAAGGTAAACAGAAATAAACTATTTACATGGAGCAGTGCTGAGGATGAATTTGATTTAGAATTTAAAAGTCGAGCACAAGAACGCACCCGCTTGCTCAACCACTCTAACAGGGTAACTGGCTACTGATTGAACATAGACTCTTTATGCTGCTCCGATACCTGTTCAGAAAAAAACCCAAGAAAACTGGACTCTGATCGTAACTTGTTTGAACAAGCTAAATAAAAGGTAATGCCCTGGGAGTGTTAAATAGCTTTGGTTCTATATTTTATTTTATTACATTAATGTTAAAGTTGAGATTTACAAGAAATATTTTATTGCAACTGTGTAAAGGGAATACTGGTAAAAAGCACATTATTTGTTTTAAGTGTTTGCCCATGTTGTTGCACTTTTGTGTATACAGCAGTACATTTAAATTAAAAGTGCGCAATACACTACTTTAGAATTCACTATTCAATTTTATGCATCACAAGAAAGAGAAAGAAAATCCTACAATTAATCGCAATTAAAAAACTTAATTGTTGCCCAGCATTAGTATCTGTACAAAATACTTACCAACTTTGCCCTGCTGAACATGAAGTGCCTTCACTGTCTGTATGGCTGTGTAGATAATGGAAAATACAGACGAAAAACCACACTGTAAAAATGTTCAGATTCACCTGTAAATAAAAACCACTAAGGACAAAAGAATACAATCTTTCCAAAAAGGGACACACATTTAAGGAAAGATGTACAGTGAAACCCTTACAAATGGTTCAGAACGCAGCAGCGCGTCTGGTTTTTGATCAGCCCAAAAGGACTCATGTCACTCCATTACTCAGTGACCTCCACTGGCTCCCCGTGGCCTCCAGAATCAAATTCAAGTCACTAATGCTTGCATACAGAGTGACTACTGGGTCTGCACCCATCTACCTAAACTCCATAATACAAACTTACGTTCCTTCTCGGCCGCTACGCTCCTCCAACGAACACAGACTGGCTCTGCCATCCCTTCACACAAAGCAATCCCAGTCCCGGCTGTTCTCATCTGTGACACCACGATGGTGGAACGAGCTACCACACACCATCAGAGCAGGGGCGTCCCTCTCTAACTCCAAGAAGCTCTTGAAAACTCATCTCTTCCAAGAACACTTCCTCTTATAACACCTCTAACTCCTAACCTCTAACATGCACTTTCTGTGCTCTTCTTCTTCTATCCCTGACAATTATCTATTATTGATTGCACTTTTTAGTTTTGATTCCACTTTTTGTTAACTCTTACTTCCTTCCCTAGGTATTTACCCCACTGATGTGATATGAACTATGAGCTCTTACTAGTATTTATTGCTGCTCTTACCAGTATGTATTGTCAGTTGTAGATCTGTATTTGATACTCTGTTGATGCTTGTATGTTGTTCCTCAAATGTAAGTGTCAACGTTTCAATTTCCCTTGTCCTTTCCAACCAATGTAGCCTGTTGTCTGATTGTCTTCCTCTGGTTATTCCATGGCAGTTTCTGTAAACCCTAATATCAGAAACATACACAAGAGAAGGCATTACTTCTACAAAACAGTCCATCTGTTGTATATGAACGAACATGGTAGAAGGTGGTAGAACTAGTGTTGTATTATTATTAGGGCTGGGCACGCACAACGCGTTATTATTGCATTAACACGTTAATTAATTAACGCAGACAATTATTTTATCGCAAGTTAACGCAGTTTTTATTGTTATTATTTTGAAAGTCCATTGCTCACTGGCTCTGAATAATCAAATCACCCACCCAACAAGCAGTGTAGGTAGGCTTCGGCAGACTACGTTGGATGCAGTGTATGGGAGAAGTAGATAAACAAAAGCAAGACAAGCAATCAAATGCCATAGAAAAGTGGATAGATGCACACTGCATGCTGATTAGTATTGGGGAAGATGTCGGTCTTAGGAACGTGGTTTGAGTGTTCTACTAGTGTATTAAAGTACATACAATGTCTAAAAATATATGTGTCCCCGGAATAAACTCCTGCTAACAATGTGGTTAATGAGGTGCAGGTAACAATAAAGGTAGCATAATGTTTCTAAGGAAAAACATGGGAACCAGCAACGGCGTCGCTAGGTTTTTGACTGTAGCCCTCAACAACAGCAACAAAAATATTTTCCATGTTAATATGCAGCGGATAAGAGCTAAGGGAAAGAGCGGAGGCTACTCGCAATAATACTGCAACATTTTGTTTGAAGTTCATGTAACGTGACCCACACCGTTACTCAGCCTGCCTGCGAGAGAGAGAGAAAGAGAGAGCGCGAAATGCTCACAGCTTCAGGGCTTGTCCGCAACTTCTGAATTGTCTCTAGCAAAATTGTAATCAATTTTAATTTAAATATAAATGTTGCCGGTCAGTGTCTAGTCAGTGTATTAACACAAACGGTTGACAGTCGCCACAAAGTAGTGAGTCAATATCATGACACCTGACCGCAACACAGACACCTGACACTCTGTGTGCTGCCGTTTCACTGTCTCCAGGATGCTGCATTCACTCTAAAGTGGCTGTGAGCTGCACATTAAAAGTGAACATTTCTGTGGAATTGTGGTGATATTTCCATCTGAAGTGTTTTCAGTTCCGGTTTTCTTTCTCTGGTGAAGAGCAGTGCGCTTGTCTCATCGAATAGGCTACAAGTCAAAAAATTTATTTATATAAAAAATGGAATCGTCCATTAAAGCATAAACCAATAATGACATTAGGCTGGCCTAATTACATCTCTTACTAGCCCCCACTCCCTCCCCCTCTGCTCAAGCTGTTTCTTGTGTTGTGGGTCAAAAAAATTATAATTTCAACTGCGCGAAAATAACTGATTTATAGATATAAACTAAAAACAAGAATAAGCTACTGATTACTGCATTACATTCTATTATATTTTCATATTCTGAATTATCACCTGCCACCTATATTTTGTCCTTCCCTTTATAAAACTAAAGACATTTCCACCATAAATTGGTGCAGAAAATGTCTCCAGAATTCAGGAAATTAAGTGTTTAATGTTCAAAATCTTCAGGGGGTTATTATCAGTAGTAATTATAAAAATCATAATAAATGTAGGCAACATATATATCATTTACTGTTTCTTTATAAACACACTTTGGGTAGACAGCAATGGGGGGTGGGGGGTAAAAACATAAACGATTTCTGGGCTGGGCTAAGCCCCCGATGTTTCAAGAGCCTGGAAACGCCCCTGGGAACCAGAACATAAGGGAGTAAAATATTATGGGAGCAATGCTCAAAATGACCATTGGGTGGAGCCTGAGGGGACTGACAGGAATAAAATTACACTAGTAGAACCATCAGAAGGCTACGATGAGACCCCCACCTGATGTAGGAGGAGACAGTGTACCATGTTTTTCAGTGTGCCTTGACGGTCTAAGTCTTACTCGGGTTTTGTCTTGTTTTGACAATAAAACTATATTGCATCGATCTCTAATAATGTGCCTTTCTGAACACTCAAGGTCACCTTACAAAACATAATAAAACAGTACAGCAATAATCGATAAAATACTAACTATAACTATAGTCACAGTGCATAAAATCAGGGTACAAAACAACTGGAAACAAAGATTGAGAAAGAGTGATCACGTGGGATATGCCAATTTAAAAAGATGTGTTTTCAGAAAAGGGATTTATTGAGGATTTTGTCGAGGATCACAGCCAGACTCTTGACCTGAGGGGAGGGGGGGAACTGTGGAGTTGTCAATGGTAAGAGAAAAACTGTCAGATTTAGTCAAAGTGGATTTTGTGCCAATTAGGAGATCCTCGGTTTTGTCACTGTTAAGTTTGAGGAAGTTGCAAGGGGGGGCCTCTCGCCTTGTTATATTTCTGACCTTTTAGTCCCATACACACCAGCATGTACCTTGAGATCCTCGGGCAGAGGTCTGTTGTCTGTTCCAGAGTCTCGACTGACAACTAAAGGGGACAGAGCATTTGCTGTCAGGGCCCCAAGGCTCTGGAACAGCCTGCCTGAGGAAATCAGGTCAGCTGAGTCAGTGAACTCTTTTAAGTCCCTTCTTAAAATATACTTTTATAGGAGAGCCTTTCCCGATCTTATTTGACTTTATTTTATCCCTTTTATTTTATTCTATTTTACTTATTTTATATTTCTCTTAAACGTGTATTTTAGTCTTTAGTACGTGCAATGTCTTTAAAGACAATAGTGAAAAAGAACCAATAAGAGTATCAATAAAGAACCATACCGATAAGGAGTATCTACAAGAATGTATCAATAAAATCCTAATGATACCCATCCCAACTTGTGAGAAAATGTCCAGTCCATCTCCATGTCCTAGTTTTAAAATCTGGCCGAATTAAATTTGTAACTGAATAGCCCTGTACTACAATGTGTCTTGGCAAGGACAATTGTCCTCCTCTTACTGCCTCTCCACAGGTGTACCCTAAGGCTTGATTTTAGGGTCCCTTCTCTTCTCAATTTACCCCTTCTCATTGGGGCAGATCATTCGCTCGCATGGTTTCCCCTACCACTGCAGACAATACGCAACTCTACCTGTCCCTGCTGTTAGACCTCGCCTCGACTACTGCAATGTCCTCCAAGCAAGTCTCCCAGCTTGTGCGGTAAAACCCCTACAAATGGTCCAGAACTCTGTGGTACGTCTTGTTTTTGATCAGCCCAAAAGGAATCATGTCACCCCATTACTCAGTGACCTCCACTGGCCACCCATGCCCCCCGAAACAAATTCAAGTCACTAATACTTGCATACAGAGTGACTACTGGGTCTGTACCCATCTCCCTAAACTGTATAATACAGTCGTACGTTCCTTCTAGGCCATTGCGCTCTTCCAACGAATGCTGTCTGGCGCAGCCATCCCTACACACAGCAATCTCAGTCCCGGCTGTTCTCATCTGTGACACCACGATGGTGGAACGAGCTACCACATGCCATCAGAGCAGGGCTCTTGAAAACTCATCTCTTCTGATAACACTTTCTCTTATGCTGACCCCTAACCTCTAACATGCACTTCCTGTGCTCTTTCTCCTCTATCTCTTTACACTATCTCGCTAGTATTTATTGCACTATTTGTTAACTCTTATTGCTTCCCTTGGCACAGTATCTCTTTTTTCACTTTTGTTGCCAGTGGTTTAGACATTAATGGCTGTGTGATGCGTAATTTTGAGGGGACAGCAAATTTACACTGTTAAACAAGCTGTATACTCACTACTATACATTGTAGCAAAGTGTAATTTCTTCAGTGTTGTCACATGAAAAGATATAATCAAATATTTACAAAAATGTGAGGAGTGGTCTCACTTTTGTGAGATACTGTATCTATCCCATTGATGTCTTATGCGTTATTAGGTCTTGCTAGTATTATTGCTGCTCTAACTATGTATGTATTGTTACTTTACTGATGCTTGTATGTTTTTTCTCAAATCACTTTGGATAAAACAAAATGATTAAATGTAATGTAATATAATATAATGCTTGCATCACACTGGACACCTGCATCCTGACTGATTGCCTATATATCCAGCAATTTTTAGAAATGGTCTTGTCTTCCATCTCTCCAGAGATTTTATTTTACAATCAAGCTTAGAATCAGATCGATATGTAAGGCTTTTAATGTTTTTGTACTACTTACAGTGTATCTAAATAAAATTTTCCCTGGATGCATAACAGTGCTCAAGGCACTGTAGTGAGTGATACTGCACTGCTTAACAGACTACCATAGGGTCTGAGAGTATTAACAACTATCCCCCATTTCTTACAGTGTAGTGGCTCTACTAAGGGATCTTGGCCAGGATGGAGGATTACATTGACCAATAAGTCTTTCTATGTACATGCCATGCCAAACCTATTTACATAAATTTACTGATTACCAGATACACCTTCTGGTGGTATGATCCAGTAACATGGCTGACGATGTCCTTCTCTAGGATCTTCAGAGAGCAGCACTCGCAGAAGTAGATGGAGTCACGCTGATCACAATGGCATTCAATGAGAGCACTTAAACCTACAAGACATATTGATATCAATCTTCAATCTGGCTAGAAATGGTCACAGAAATCCTTTAAGAATAAATGAAGCACATGTAAAACAACCCTTAAAACAATTAATAAACTGTTATAAGGAATCAAAATACAATAACTAAAAGTTTTGTTTTCTAAAATTAAACCGCTAATTCTTTATAAACATTTTAAACCAGCCACCCAACAATTAATATCAAATTTAACTTTAACGTTTGGAGTTAATATGGTCCAATCAGCATTACAATAACATTACCAGTGGACAGTAACAGGCCACGTTTTCTACAATATATGATAAAGACTCTTTAATTTAATGTGGATATTTTTCAGTTGAAATTAGACTTCAGACTTGGATATTGTTTTTAAAGACACTGACCAACCACAGGCTCGTGGCTCTCCCTCTGAAGATACTGCCACAAGTGATCTCCTTGTTGGGGGTTCACATTAAAAGACACTGTAAGAGAGCCATAGACAACCACAGACTGAGCCATTTTCACAGAAACAGAGAAAAATCATCCACAAACTTAAATATGACATTTAGATACCTTTATCCTTCGGTTTTCCTCCACTTCCTTCAGATGCGTCTTGTTTGGAGGTGAGCCGCTGCCTTTTATGGCCCCGTGTGTCCTCCAGTGATTTTTCAAACATGTTGCTGGGCCTCTTTCTTTCATTTTCTTTGTAAATGTTATTCAATCCTTTTTCTACCAACTCTGTTCCATCATTTTTCTCCATGTCTTTCGAAGTTTGCCTGGGGGCTATGAAACATAATTATTGTTTATGCTTAATTTGTGAAAATGAATTTGATTATAATCATCTGCAGTGTTTTATCAAGTATCCACTCAGTGAACAATAATATAAACGGCGACAAACAAGCTTTCCAAATTAAGAAACCAGTGGATGAGGTCAACAGAACAGTAGTAGCCTAGCGGATTTCCAGCAAACCAAATGTACCCTCATGATATTTTTCTTAACCGCCACACAAATAAAATAAAGAAATAAAATAAAATCTTCCTACATGGGAACCTAAGCCTAAGCTGTACGAGTAAATGTAATACTGCACATAAAACATCTACATAACAAAATGTGTAGCTAGTACAGTATATCTGATTTGACTTACAAAGCTTCATTTTAGGCAGTATTTTGGGTTCAAGCTTTTCTTTGCCTTCTCTCCTCTTCACAGATGCCAGGATGGATATTGCTGGAACAAAACAGTAAAGAAACTCAAGAAACCAATTCACAGTTATAGTTGCCAATGTGGAAACTTCATTACACTAGTCACACTCACGTTTTCAGTAGGGGCATAGCTCCCAGATGGGCGTGTCCAACAATATTACCTTTGAAGGCAGGAAATATTGGAACAAATGCGAGAGGAGACGCTCTACAAAGATGGTACCGAATTCAGTTTCTAGTATAGAATACCTGTGCATGCGATACAGAGTGAATACGTGTGGCTGGTTTTGCCAAGTCCAACAAGGCCTCTGCATCCATGCTTGAGTTCAGCGAGCCTGGGTAGAAATGGTTCTACACAGACACAAAGACACACACAAAAATGTCTACTAAGTTTTTCTGATACATTTAAACACTCTCGTTGTATACAATTTCCAATTTACCATCACTATTCAGAAATACATTTCTTGACCTTACTGTACTTATTTGTTGTTACTTGACTACTATTACTATAGCTAATAAACAGTATTGACAGACAGATCTTAAGACAGATAAACAGAAAATACTGTTTAATTCATAATATCAAAACTAGTATTGGGTGGTGACACATTAGGTTTAGTTTTTGTATCTTCCATAATGAATTAATTAGTAATAAAACAGTAATTGGTAAAATGTACAGCAGAGACTATTTCCATAATCTGTAGTTATTGTAGTCTGCTATGGATGTAAGTTAAAATGAGAAAGATGAACATCTAACGTTAGACTAAACAGACTGCAACAAATTACTGACCATTTTAGGAAACTTCACCTTTAACAAGTAAAAAAGCATTTGAATGAGGTTGACAGAAATCTCTCTTCTCATCAGCCTTTCAAAAACCTAAAAATGTTCCCAATCAATAAAATGTTTTTAAACTAACGTTACAGTTTTTAGTATTAACAGTTTTCAACGGGACCACTTCATAAATATCCCAATAACTATAATACAGCTGAGCCTCTTAATCAATGCAAAATCCCTAACAGAGGATAAAACACTTGCTGTAGTAATGGGTTTTGTCTAGATTTAGCTAGCGTTAGCTTAGTTAGTTAGTAATCTTTCTAGCTAGGGCTGTAGCGTTAGCTAATTAGCCACAACAATTGCTTTTTATCGAGAAATCTCTCCATGACTAACGTTAACGTTAACTTCCCATCAGAGTGAAGATGTGCTTGTCCAACCAACAGTCCAACGTTACTTACCGGTAAGTTAAACGTTAGTTATTATGTAAAGTTAACTTAACAAGCATTAAATGCTCACATTTCAGAAACTTTGTTTTAGCTAAATTAAGCACGCAAATATTTTTTGATTTATGGTTTTTGCTTGAAGACACAAAATCGACAGAACACCGGCTAGTATGTTTTCTGTAACGTTACCAGAAACCGAGTGTGGGATGACCGTTGAGTGTAAGAGCATTGTTTTCTGTTGCTCACCTTATATAACCTAATCCTACCGTTTCATTTCCCGTTGATGTACAAAGGCATTCACGTGGAGAACTCGCTTATTTAATATGTTTGATAAATCAATAGGGTGTTAATGTAAAATCGGTATAAATTATTGCCAACAAAATACAGCTTAACGTTGATTAAAAGGCAATCTATTGAAAAGGTACTGGCTCTTGGGTCTAGTGTATGAGTATTGACATGGACTAGTGATATGCGGATCGATCCTAAAGGATCGATATTTCTGATACCAACGTTTCCTGCTCTAGGATCGATAATCATATAAAAGGATCGATATCTAAACTCAGTCAATTGGAGTGAGTGTGTGTTTTATTATAAGTGTCTTACTGTCACCAGGATGGTTTAATTATACTCGGTTGATAGGAACTACTTTTCCTTCCGCCTGTCAAAGTCGTGGCTCTGTGACGGAGCGTCTTTGAAGTGTAGTAGCCAATATTTGTGCGTTTGACTCATAACAGCTCAAAATAGCACTGTAGCAGCAGGACAGAGGGTCAGTGACCTTCTACGGGGAGAGCAGTGATTGGTGGTTATGTAGGGACTGAACCCTTCTATAGAATTTGACCTCTAACCCCTTGTTTTGTTACCTCAAGATAGTACTGTACCCTTCTATGGGTTTGACCTTTTACTTTGCAGACTCAAACCCTTCTATGGTACCTAACAGAGACCTAAACATATCCTATATAAGCTTTGTTTGATGTACATAGAGACAGAGTGGCCATCGGGCTGGGTCACTCTCCAAGCTACTGCAGAGCTTGTAATTGATGCTGAACTCCTTGATTTAATACATTTTTAAGATCACATGATATACATTTCCTGTGATTGAATACTGACTCCGGCTGATGGTAAAAGCAGTCACGTCTGGCTGTATTTTAGCTGTGAAGGTAATAATGTTGCTCTGTGTGATCTGTGTGCAAAGACAGTGAAATACTTTGGCAACACCGCAAACTTCGCTAAACATCTGAGATTAAGTCTGTCACAATAATATTATTATGTTATGAAGCAGCAGTTCTGAGCAAGATATTTTTATTATAATTAAAGAATATGACAATAGTTTGATGTCTTGTCATTATGCAGCTGTTATTTTGAATTGGTAAGGCTACAGCCTACTCCTTATTTCTCTCATAAACAGAAACGGGAAAGGGAGGTCACATTAAACTAGAAATAAAATATGTAAAAAGTGGTACCAGCCTGGGTATTACGTGGTATTGGATCATATAGGAATTAAGTGATATCACACATCACTAACATGGACCCTCAGACAGCCATCCTCTCTTTAATCATACTGATGGGCCCCAGACAGAAAAGACCATTTGTTACCACAAGTAACAATAAACAAAATTACACCCACCTGAAACTTGTTATTGAGAACTTCATTAATCAAAATCAATCTAGGACTATGAGACTAGTGGAACAACTTCAACACAAAACAACCACACTCAATTCCCATTCAAAATGGTGACATCTGGAGAGCAATCTGAAAATCTGTACGAAGACATACCAATAAATCTAATTTGTCAAATCAATGAATTATGCAGATAAAAAAATCCAAACACTAGAAAAAACAATTAGATAGACAGACAGATAGAGAGCTGAAGTCTCTGTTTTAGGTTGATGACCTTGTTCTACTGTCTCCTACTGAACAAGGACTTCAGTACAGCTATACATAGTTGAAAAGCACTGTCAGAACTGGACCCTACCAGTAAATATGTCTTGATATTTCAAATACGCCCCAGATATCAGGAGAACAAATACCAATTTAACAAATGTTATGATAAATAATCATATCACTGAATATAGTTATACCTACCTTGGTATTGTTGTGGAAATTGTATATTTCCCGGAGCAGAATTGAACAATTAAGAAGTTACAGCAAACACTTGTCTTTTGGTATTTATTAAAGGAAGATAGAAACAGAGGAGTACACAAAAAAAGATTCAGCTGGGTCAGCCGTCTACCACCTAGGGCAAAATCAGACATCTGGCCCTGAGCAGAGCACAAATAAAATTTATTGCAGGAAAACTCCCTGTTCCCTCAACCTCTGGCCTTGAAAACTTCACTTCCAATGGGAGCGGAGAGCCATAAGACAACAATTGGACAGTTTAATACCAGAGAAGGTGCACTAAGTACACAATGGTATATAGTATAGCATGTAAATATATTCTGTCATATTCTGTCAATAAAAATGCAAATGGTTACTCATATCATATCATCATCACCAACTTTTAAAAAATATATTTAGCTTTTAATATTCCTTCCATCTTTTAACAGGAGGAAAAAAACTAGACTGTTATTCATCAAAATAATCTCTGTTTGTGATTTGTCCCGCTGTGTGTTACATTAAAGGAAGATAGAAACGAAAAGAGGAGTGCACAACAAAAAAGATTCAGCTGGGTCAGCCGTCTACCACCTTGTGCAAAATCAGACATCTGGCCTTGAGCAGAGCACAGATGCCTCCAAACAGACTTTGCTATAAATCAAAGTCTGTTTGGAGGCATTGGGAGCACAAAAAAAGTTGTAAAAGGCATTTTGTGGCTCCAGAGGGAAATGAGTGAAGTCTGATAAATTGGCTCATGTGACATCACTTGAATTGACTTCAGTTGGGGCTGTTGATTACAAGTCTGAAAATGAAAAACAAATACCTTTGTAGCTCACTCCTCATCTCTGCATGAGGCTCGCAGCTTGAGGCTACATAAGCTGCTACTAGCATACAACACCGAATGTCCAACTGAACTGTTGGCAGTCGGTTGCACTGTGGGTAATGTAAGTGCTAGGTTTTGCCAAAGGAGAAGAAGTGTCTAAGGCAAACAGACACAGATTCAAGGACAAAAGAACAGACACAGTCTAGGCATATGTTTAGGTCAGGTCGGTCATTTAATGAAATAAAACTTTGTGTTGACATTGTCATCATCAAGGCTCAGTATTCTCCTTAATGAAAAAGTAAAACAAAAACGACATTCACACACACTTTTCTCTCTCTCGCACCCGCTCGCACACACACACACACACACACACTCACACACAAAGTCTTAAATTGTAATCAGGACATTTGGATGAAGACAAAAACAAGCAATGAAACAACTAGTTGACTGAAGTCACTGAAAGTATTTTGGATGATCTGAAGTGAAGAAAACACAGAAGAATTCCTGACATTTAAGTAAATCAGAGGAAGTTGTCAGCTGTAAACTATGCAAATAAAATGTTATTATAACTTAAAGCGCTCACTTACTTTCATTGATAAATGAGTGGTATCTCAAAATGTAACTTCTCTCCATCAGAATGTTTTTACAGTAAGTGATGACCGATTCGTTGCTGCTGGAAGACGGTCAGGTACTTCACAGACAAGCTGATACCCATTGAAAAGAAAAGTCATGGAGTGTTGAACGTAGAAATCAGGAAGAGAGATTTGATTTGTTCTCTCACACCAGTGCTTTTGTACCCTTCAAAATAAAACAAATGCCAAATAAAACAAGACAAGAACTTGATGGGAGAGGAGGTAAAAAAAAAAACGTAATTCACTGTCATTATAATACTCAAATTATTTGTTTTCTTTTGACCATTTATTTTTCAAAATCTTCTTATTCCTAAATTGTCCTTCTTTCTTCTCTGACTCATTTGGCACTTAAAGGACAAGATGCCCTTTGACCATCATCTAAGTCTTCAAAATAAAATAAAAATAAAATCTCTCAGCACATTTCTCACTCCACACTGGCTTACTTTACACATACAAGCACATCTTTTTCTAGGCTACCACCCACATATGTATAACAACCCCCCACTGTCTGACCCTTCAGCCTACACCCTGATCTGAGTTTTACACTCAGTCCCGTCATAGCTCGTCATGAGAGGCGGCTTCATCCGCTTTAAGTTTGAACTCTGTCTCTGTGATCTTTCCGTCTCCATCACGGTCCTGGTTGGAGAACATGTTGTCAATTATGCGATAAGGATCGAAGCCAGGGGCCAGGCGGCCTTTACCCTCGTTCACCTGCCGTATGATGTAGTCGGTAAACTATGGAAAGAAAGGAGAGATCAAATAAGATAAATTAAGGATACGTGGACCGTAACAAGAAGGGCTAATGTTTCCAATGTGCATTATTGCGTTAAAAATATTACAGCAAGTTATCACGTACCTCAGAGGGCTCCACCTGCTCGTTCTTGTCTTTGTCCATCTCAGAGAAGAGGTCAGGTGACACATCGTCGTTCCAGATGAACATGTAGCCTTCAGGAAGTCCTTCTTCCATTTCTACCAGGTCGACATCGAACACCAGCACGGCGCTCCCTGGAACCTCGCCAGCTACACACCAACGCAAACAAACAACTTTAGCTGGAGATGAAGTACATATATATTATAGATAAAGAAATATTTAACCGGTTGAGGGGAGTCTAGGATTATGCGTTTTAAAAGGGAGATTTTCCTTGTGTACGGTCTAGACCTGCTCTATATGAAAAGTGTCCTGAGACAACTTCTTTTATGATTTGGTGCTGTATAAAATAATATTTAATTAAATAAATATGGACCACCAGTGAGGAGTTTAGGGAACTACTGAACTAGCTTTGATGCTCAATCTCATTTGGTAATAAAGTGTTTATACACAGAGTTGGAGGAGATGTCTACCCTCTGAGTCCTTTTGATTTTATAATTATTTATTTTAGTGGCTGGACAGAGGAGGGTTAAAACCATCACACATTAAAGAATACCTCTCCAGTAAGAGTTCTTAGACACCTGTCCATTTTCACATGACTACACTCATAGGTACATGCATCAGAAAGCCCACCACCAAATATATCCTCTGTTATTATTACTGCACTAAATTGTGTGTGTGCGTGTAACTTACTGACTCCCCTCTCACCATAGCCCAGGTGAGGAGGAATAACAAGGTGCCTTTTCTCTCCCACACACATGTCCATCAGTCCGTCCTCCATCCCTGGGACGACCTGGTTGGCTCCCAGGACAATGTTGTATG